TTAGATAGAAATACTAAGTCAGATAATGACAGACAAAAGACAGGCGCCGAAAGACTTGGTATCTATTTCGAGAGTAGGTAACATGTGAAAACACAATGAGTTGGTTCGATGCTCATATCGGGACAAACTTGAACTTACGACTTTGACTTTGCGGGGAAGTGGAGCGCTATCGCCCCACTTACCTGCTCCTTCGAGGTCTGGTCCCCGGGACCTTCGTCTCAAATCCCAGGAGCAGCCAGGCCTTGCATATCTACATACGTCAGTGACTACCTTGCTGTAAGGCAATCTACGATTGCGACCCTCGATCTTGATCCCGATCTTCTCGCTCGTTTCACCTATATAGTAATCGGGACTGCCGTATAAACTTTCCCACACTACTTACTATTGAGACGCATCCATTGTACTCTCGCGATCGAGGCCGGAAGAGCTCTCCTCTCCAAGAGTACCCATACCTAAAAGGAAATAATACCGGCGATCAGCATCGAAGCTACGATGGCGTCCAGAGCGATGTCAGACCTGTCGCTGGAAACCTCTTCCAAAGGGAAGGCCAAGCCCAAGAAAGCAGCCCCGGTGGCGGACTCCTGGGAAGACGAGGACGTCGAGTCGGAGCCAGACATCGCGTCTCCCGCCCTGGAAAAGGAGGCGAAAGTCGACGGCTCAGGCTTCGCGGCGCCCCCGCCAACCCCTGCCTCGCCATCCTACACCTCCGGTGCGGCACCGCCTTGGCAGCCCATGACAGCCGGGTCGCCGTCGTCGCTCTCGCCCCCCATGTCCCCGGCTAGCGATGCGAGCGGGGTGCGGCGGCCAGAGAAGACCGACGCTGTGGCGCGCCGCATGATCGCCAGCGCGCTAGGAGTCCGCGCGCCGAAGCCGACGGAGGAGCAGAGGGCGTATGATCGTGCTGTACGGGAGAAGGAGCGGAAGAGGCGGGAGGAGGAACGGGAGGCGGAGAAGAGGAGGCAGGAAGAGGCTGAACGGGCGAAGGCTGCGATTTGGGAAGATTGATTAATTCGAGGGATGGAGCTTAACATCTGGAAGATACCTATGGGCCAGGAAAGGTACTCCTACAAGCAGGTGGCTACGGTATATGTCTTTCGGCACGGGTATGCAGGTGGCCTAGAGCGTAGTTTCAAGCTTCGAGCTGTACTATGTGTATGATTCCGTATATACAATAACGTCTCTAAAAGAGAAGCGGGAGGACGCGATGGACATATCTGATGATTTGCATCTATATGAAAAGAAATATTTGATAGCCTTACTCTCTAAGGTAGCTGTGGACGTTGTGTCCACTTACGTATGTAGTCCTTGGGGGTTCCCAGAAACCAGATTTCAACGCTGGTCCGGAAAAGGAAGCCTGGCCGGCGTAGGAGAGTAAATAAAACTCACATCATCGCCATGGCTTAGACATAAGGGTTGTCTATTGTCAACTAGGTGCCTAACTAGGTCTCGGAAAGTTCATATTCGGAAAATGCATATAACGTACTATCTAACGGGGACATCTAGTCGTGGGAGTATTGGAGCGAAGTGACGCAGCTTTTCTGCCTTTTTGGTTTTCTATGGACTTCCAACCCTACCATGAATGTCTCCTAAATGACTAGGTAGATTCACTCGTAGACGGAGGATCATGCACATATGGCTTGCCTTTCCAGGTCAAAACCAACCGCTGCTCCGACCGGCCCTCGCCGTCTTCGCAGAATCGGACCCCGACACCCAACCCCTCCAGCCCTTCTTCCTCAGCTCTGCGGTTCCACAGCATTTGCTCCAGCCTCCCGTCTTGGGAGCAGGACACGTACCCCATGGGCCAGCGGCTCCGTCCCAGTGCGTCGCGCACGCCCTTGGTAGCCGGCTTCTGGGCCACCAGGAACCCCAGGACGCTGGAGCCGGGGGTGCTGCTGCGCCATCCGGGCGGCGCGCCGATGAACGCGCCTTCGAGCTCGCGCACGTGCTGCGGGCCGATGCGAGTGCTCTGCGAGGCGGAGGCTTTGCACTGCAGGAGAACGCGCAGCGGATTCGGGGAGGTGGTGGAGGGCACCTCCCACGTCCCTAGCAGGTCTATGCCGCAGTCATCGCGGCCGCCAACACGGCGCAGGGTGAATCCGAGAGTGGATAGCGCGGCTGCTACGGCGTACTCGTACCGTGTGCCGAGGTACGTCTTGGATGTGACGTCCAAACCCGTGCGCGCGGCGTAGGCGGCGTATGATTCTAAGTCGTAGTGCTCATTGCTGCCACCGAGTGTATCGGGAAAGACTAGGGTTCGAGTTTGGGATGAGGTTGAGTATGAAGTTGAGAATGAGGGAGGGTGCGCATGGTGACGGAAAAGGAGGTCATAAGTGTAACGCGAGACCCTGGCTGTGTGTGGACTGGCTGAGATGTGCTGGTGCCATGATGGGCGGTAGCGTAAGATAGACCTCATTCCATCGCTTGTGAATATCTGAAAAGAAGTATTGCATGTGAGAAGATGGCGTATCTTTGAACTGTATGTGTGGTTTACAAATGATGAAGTGAGTTCGTTTGGTGAAGAAGAACGCACATTATTCTTTATCGATAAGGGAATCCTGGTCATAGGTCAGCCCCACTATCTTCTACCAATAATCCAATAGTGAATGCTGCAAGCTTCAACCCACCATCATTCAACACACCCACAATTGCGCGGAGCTCAGGAGCATGCCATCATGGGGGATAGGCTCACTCAGTTGCAAGATGCTGTTGACCAGGTAAGCTCTTCATCAGGTCAATGTTCTGGGAAAGCCACCAACCTCGACCTTTCAGCTCGCGCAGCAATTCGTTGCATGCATTTACTACGTAAATCGACACCACAACCTCGAGACTCTAGGGCCAGGTGACCAGATTCGAGACGTGAAGCAGGAGCCCGATCAACAGGAGGGTAAGCCACTCCAGACGATACCGACCTATATACCTATCTAGCTGCTCAATTAGCCATGTGCACATGCTGACTCGTCGCATTCAAACGCAGTCGACCCGCACCCGGAGGACGTCTTCAAGGCAGCGCAAGTCGAGCTAGCCCAAGACCTCATCCTGAAGGAGCAACAGATCGAGATGCTCATTTCTTCGCTTCCGGGCCTCGACAACAGCGAACAAGACCAAGAGGCAAACATCAAAGAGTTGGAAGAGGAGCTCAAGGTCGCCGAGGCGCAGAGGCAGGAGGCAATCGAGGAGAAGGAAGACACTATGAGGAAGTTGGATGCGGTCATCCGCAGCATCAGGCGCCCATGAGCGTTCAGGAATGGCACGATATGATACCCCCCGGTCAGGCGTTCTGGGCATTGTTATGGTTTTCTCTTGGGCTATGGGCAAAGCCAAAGTGGTCTAGATTACGTAGACTCTAAAGTAGTGTTCTATGCTACTAGACATGATCGCCTCTTCTGATGCTAATAACGCCCCCAAAACGCCTCTACTCATGCAATCCAATTGCCACAATTGAGGTCTATATCTTGCGCCGTCTAGTCTCGATTCGTCGACTTGAAGAACTGCGGGAATATCGTCCTCAGCTCTTCCAGATGCCTAATCTGGTATTTGGATGCTGGGATTTCCGGCACGGGTAGTCCTTCCTCGACGAGATGAACTGATTTCCAGCCAATCTTCTCCGCGCTGGCTACATTTGCGTACGAGTCGTCTAGTTGAAGTCAGCTTTGGTATTCTGATACGTGTTCGGTGAATCGTGTGCATGCTTGCTTACCAACAAAATAGCAGTCTTCTGTTCGCTCCACCCCAGCCTCCTTCATCGCCTTGGCGTACATGTCCTTGTGAGGTTTGCAGATGATAGGGATCTGAGAGTAGTCGCAATAGGTGAGACCTTCAAAGAGGTCGTCGACGCCCAAGAGCTTGACAACCCGCCGGCCGTGGTTTACATATGCGTTGGTCAGGAGCCATAATTTCACCTTGGTCCCGTCAAAATCTTCGAGCAGTTCCCGCAGCTGAGGATTCTCCTTGATTATACTTTCTAGAGGTAAGGCATCGTCGACCTTGGCGTTGTAGTCTAGAGGGTCGATCTGGTGGTGTCGCACAAGTCCTTCAATGGCCAGACCGTAGTTTTTATAGTATTCCTTGTGCAGTTTGATAGCTTGCTCTTCGGGGAGGCCAAGGTGCGTCGCAAAGTATCTGTCTATTAGGTCTGCCATTAAGTCGTGGACTTTGGCGCCTGGGGTGGTAGTTAGTTAGCATGAGTCGTTTCACTCTCCCCTCGTGAGGCGGCTTGCTATCATAACCTAGACAGAGACATACTTCTAGGGTAGAGGCAATTGTCGATATCACTATTGGAAATGTTAGTAACCTTTTCTTAACATTCCAATAAATAAGAAGGCTCACAAGAAAAAGACGGGCCTAGGCGTCGTGGCCCCATTGGGCTGTGTTGCTTGTGATCCCATCACTTAATATATTCTTTTTTTTTCGGGTGTGTAGTAAGAGCAGAGTGAGGTAAAGAAGTGTCCTTCGCAAGGAGAGTAGCGTAGTATGTTTAGATGAATCTTCCCTTTCTGGATACGTACGCGGCGTCTCTATGACTGAGATTGGGTAAAATCAGCCAAAGTTGTTAGCAATCAAGAGACGAGTGAAAATGTACGTCAGAACGTTTAAGCGTTGCCGCGGATGGAAAAGCGATTGGGGAACTTGGTAGAACACCGTAGTCTAAAAGGCGGCTCAAGCAAATCACCACAATTACAATGCAAAAGTCAATGAATGATGTTGAGGTAGATACCTATTCATACTCAGTGCCTTTTTACGACTATAATTCCTATTCTCGAAATAATATAAACGCTCCAGACTTTGTACTGATTTCCCGTAGCTGTATTTGAGTCACCGGCGAAATAGGGCGTCTTGAATAATGAAGTAATCAGAATGCAATCTAGGCTCTTACCTAGTCCTTATTCGGCAAGGTTAAACATCGGCTCACTTGACCAATGCCCGGCACAAAGTATATGGAGCAAGACAATCTGTCCGAAATCCAACCAGCAGCATTCGAAAGCGAAAGCAGCTGACGTTGGGGTGGTATAGTATAGTGGATAGTACAACACGTTGTGGACTATACAATACCGTGTAGACCTGGGTTCGATTCCCAGTACCGCCAATCCTTTTTCCTAATTTGCATTCTATGTAATCATTTTATTCACTTTTTCCATTTAAACCTCTTCTTGAATTGTGGAATTTTTACAGAGCCTGAGGAATGTTGCTGCACGGCGAATTGGGTTTGCATCGAGTGTTAGCTTACCTAAGCTACACCTGTACTGAATCCGTTTGACAGCTGGAAGATTCGGCGACTTGGCAGCCCCGGGTAACCACGACTGTTTGATTTAAAAATATGGAGCTCTGCACGGTTCATCTCTGAGCCTTGGAGCCACCCGACTTAAATTCGCCGAGGACAAAAAAAAACATTTGGAGTTTCGACCAAAGCCAATTTCCAAGTCGTGCGACACGTCTCCTCTTCTCCTTTCGCCGACTTCACGCAACGCTCGTGTAGGGGCTGTCAAGACAGTGTCCATTGCAAGTGATCGTTGTCGCATTCATTCACACTTTTGTAACTGTATACATCAATCGCCCATTCCTGTTTGGCTTTGGAGACCTTGGTCCATGGATGGTTCCTCTGTCCAGCTGATTCATCGCGATCATGGCTCAAGTTAGCATCGCAAGGGAGTCCGTAGCCTCAGGCTATCAGCAAGCCAGCCAGAATGGCGCGTTGACGCCCGCTGATCTTGATGAGATCCGCGAATACCAGAAGGTTATCAGCTTCCGGGATACCATAGTATCCGGGAAACACCCTCGTATCAAAGTGGCCAAGCCTGCCGCTCAGCAGTCCCATTCCCTCGCGACGGAACGCGTTGCGTCGTCATCATCCTCCGCACAACTGCAAAGTGCGCCTGATCTCAACGCCTACCAGGTGGACAATGCGCATTCTTTCAAAGCAAACTCACAACAGCCAGCTGTCGCTGTAGCTACTTCAGGTTCTACTACTACTGCTATCCCAGGTGTCTCTAGACCTTTTGATTCTGGCAAGACAGGTATCAAGCATGTTTCGCAAGCGAAACCTGAAGATCTCGCCGACATGGATCTAAAGCTACAAAGGCAGAGACTCGAACAAGATCTCAAGGAGCAGCTTAACCAACGAAAAGCCCCTTCGCTGCCCACTGAGCAGTTACCTGACTTAGATCTTTCAGATATTTTGGCAAAAGCACTGACTCTTGTACAAGCTACGGCTCCGCCCACCACCAGCCCCCCCAATGGCACTGCTTCCGATTCGAGTGACTCCTTCGACAACGATACCTTCTATTCTAGCCCACATGACACGCCCGACATGCGTGCATCGCCCCGAATTCAAGACATAGCACGTCAAGATGTACAGATGCAAGATGCACCCGTCCCTACTCCCCAATCGGCAGCGTACGCTCCCCAGCAGGAACACTTCGTCCCTCAACCCCTACACGCCTCGGCATCGTCCTACCAGACGGACTTCACTCGTAGCGTGCAGCCACCCCAGCCCGCAAATAATTCCCGTCCGCCGCAACAAAACACTGGCGGCTTAGCCACTTCTATTCAAGACCATGCAGTTCATACACCGAAGACCGCTCGTGAAAGAGATGCAATGACACATTCACGGCAGACACGACTGGTAGATGCACAGGTGATCAGTTCAGACAGCGGTGCTCCTAGTAGATCCGACAACTCTGGAAATACAGATTCGGACCAGCATGCTGACCCAAGTAGCCGTATTCAACTCCCTCACCAGTTGCTCCCTGCTGCCCAGTTCACGCAGCAACCGCCGCCTCTGGTTCGGGCCCACGACCTTTCGCCCTTTGCGCCTCAACCGGCCCATGTCTCGCCGCTAGCGATAGCTCGAAGGCCGCCTATTCCTGAGCCAGAGCTTAGCATTCTACCAGGCGCACCGGCGCAAGTTGCTGCTCTAAGACAGGAGCGTGGGGCTATCACTAGTCCTGAGAGCTCTCCCCAGACAGATAGAGCAGGCAAGAAGAAGAACAAGAGAAAGAGCAAGAGAAAGGCTGAACAGAGAGCGCCAGATGTCACCGGATCACCTTACATCAAACCAGAACCTCGCTCGCCTTCTCCTCTAACGGCACCCCCTTTTAGCCGACCTCAGAAGCGGCTACGATCCTCCACTCGGCAAGAACCGGAGCAGCTAGCGTACGACGAACCACGAATCGAACGACCAGTGTCAGGATTACACCGCGAACAGTACACAGCAACGCATGCACAAGCCGAACTCCCGGCGTATGGTTTGGATGATCCATATGCGAGGCAAGTTCGCCAGTCTGTCGCTCCGGCGAGTCAGAGATTAGACCGCACTGTATATGGAGAACGACGACCGGATGGAACGGCTGTACAATACATCCAGAGGGTCCAGTCTCCTTATGGTTATGCCGCTCCTTACGGTGCTGTTGAATCGCGCCCTCTACGTTCAGCTAGTTACTCGGTAAATCCTCAGTATCGGGAAGTTCCTGCTTATCAGCGCGAAGGCCGTGTGAGTGTGCGACCCTATGCCGATCGTGCTAGATCGCGATCTCCCGTCATTCTTGAGAGACGCTCGCCTGTCATGGCACCCCCTGCACCTCCACCTCGTATTATAGTCGACCAGTATGGTCGCGAATATGTCGAGCCTCCCCGTGCGAGTACGGTTGCCCGCCAGTCTGTTGTTCCGGCACCGAGACCGGCCGAGCGTGAGATTGTCTATGAAAGAGTACCAGTACGTGCTCCATCTCGCATGCCCGGAGATACTTTTGAGGAGGACGGGGTTATCTACCGACGTGCGTCGCCTACGTACGCTCCCCGACGCGTCATCACGCAGCCCGAGTATGGACTCGATTATAGAAGTTACCGGGAGCGTGATTATTCCATGCAGCCCATAGGGGCACAGGCCCCAGAGTTAATTCCTGTCCGAGGAGCTACCGGAGCACGGGCTGCTGAGGAGGTGGCTAGAGATTATCACCCTAGGGCCGCAAGCGTCCGGCCTGCGGAAGCTATACCGTACTACAACAGACTTGAAGCTGTTCGACCTGACGTGCCCCCCAGACACTATGCAGCGAGCGTCCATCCCGAGGTAAGAAGAGACGCGGCCCCTCCGGTGCCTCCGGTCGTTCGGGAGTTCAGCGCCAGGCCGGCAGAACGTGATGCTTCCAGGCGTGAATACAGTGTTCGACCAGTAGAGCGCTATTATGACAGACCGCCGCATGCAGACGAGGTCACTTACATCGAGCGGCCGCGGGCGGCTCAGCAGGAAATCATCTACGGAGACAACAGTCGGAGACCAGTCTATCAGTAAACGTATAGCGCATGTTAGGTATGGTGCGCACAGCCATTCGATATCATGCCCGAACCCCAAGAAATGCTGATGAAGGATAAGAAGCCTTTTGGTTTTAGCCGGGCTCATATTTACCAGGTGCAGTTTGGAGGATAAGATCTGCCATGAACCCTGGAGGCGTACTGGAATCGCAGGATATGAGTCTGTTCGGCATTGGCGTTGAGTGAGGGGTCATAGGGATGCATGTCTTGACTTAAATGCATGGTTTGGAATGGGCGGTGGCATGCAAGCTCCTCCATTAAAGACGCTCGACGCAGCCAGGTACCTAGGTAGTTGCATGAGCTGTATTTAATTCTAGGTGGCTCTTAATCAACAAGATCCTAAAAGCAATCTACATTCCGCAAGTAGGCGACACGGTGCATGCTAAACCCTTTTTTAATCTTTGAAGATAGGGACTCTGATCTGCATAAACGAGGCTATGTGCTATAGGAGACGGTCCTCGCACATGTACTGCAACCATATCGTCCTGTCAGAAATATTGTGGTGGCTAAGTGCTAGCCGAGAGCGAAGGTCGGCAATAAGCTCCGCTCACAAGCCGGAGTCCAAGTCGAGTGAAGAATAAGACTATAACCTAGGCTCTGAATGCCTAGGTAGGTGATCAAGTCTATACTGTCGGAGGGCTTGCTTTATAAAGAGATGCCAGAAAACGTGTCTCTTTTCGTCTCCTCTCCGTCCATTTAAGGATATTAAAACACAGAACAGGCCTTATTATAACATCACCGAGGACGGCTCGGATTCGGAACCAGGCAGTTCAAAATGGGGGCTACCAGCCCTACAAGTATAAGCCGTCCCACTACCGGACCCTCGGCAGCCATCACACACACGACGCGCGGCCCCGAATAGCCCTAAAAGAGGTCCTTTCGCGAGGAATGAGGAAATGTTAACCATCAAAGCCGAGAGAGTAATTAAGGTAAAGCATGTGTCAGAATCACAAACCAATATTTCAATTGATAGAAGTTCTCGTGGCATACTCACAATCGGCGGTTACCTACCTATGTACCTAGGTAGCGATGTAAGTACAACATCGATGCTTAGTATGTGGCACTCCTCCAGCTCAACTTGGACGAACCGGGTTGATGACTGCAGGACCTATTCCTTGGAAACTGAAGTGAGATGGGAAGGAAAGAAATTGTCATGGGCAGCTACTAAGCTGAAAGCTTCACGGAAGTTGAAAAGGTCTCGATAGAAACCCAACCTTAGATGGTCAATACCTACATCTACATACCTTGCTACGTGGTGTCTTTTGCTTTAATACGCGGAAAATGTAGATAATGAATAAGGGATGAAGACGCGCGGGAGAACGGCCAACTCAGATATGTATGTAGGAGGTGTGCGCGTGAGTCTGTGTACGTGCCGTAATCCATCCGATGCTCAGTCGGTTCGAGCTTCCAATTTACTCGGCCGCAATCCAACGTAGTCTAGCTAGTCTGGTTATCTGATTCTGTACCGCACCTTGGCCAGCAGTGGTCCCGTGTACCGTGGCTATGTCTGTTTGGCATGCACCTCAAATAGGTCGACAGGCTCAGATATGAAATTTGATAATTCGCACATCCCTGTATACCTTAAAGATCCTTGAGTTCGTGTCGCCCCCCTCCATCTGAGCCCTGGAGAACAAAGACTTCCAGAGCCAGATGTTGCACAGACGATACCCGTCACGGCGACTAATAACACCTCGCCTGTCCTCGAGGGCGTAGGACAATGAGCTACAAGCAGAAAGTAGAAGTCTCAGGTAGACTCGAGTATGTCGTAGAAAACCTGAG